TTTGACCCGGTTTTGACTGAATTTTTGATGACTAAATATTTAATTTGAGTTGAATTAAATATTGTAGAAAAATTCTACGTTCTGAGTAGATACTCGTGGTATATTTATTTTCTCAAAACTGATTTACGGTGAGTGAGAAATAAATTGTTAAAGTTAGTCATAAAAAGGGCACGTAAAACGTTGGTTGTGGGATTTGAAGGGTCAAGAGTCACTCCCACATTGGACTCTTAAATGAGTTTAACTCTCTTTATTATAATAAAGAGAGTTGGAGAGGTTACAACAAGCACAAAGCTATGCACCAAGTGTTGGTGTTGTTTTCGGCCACACACACTTGGGCCTTGGTTCTTGGTTCTTGGTTCTTGGCAATTGGACTTGGGCGGCCTTGGGCGGTTGGGCTTGGGCCTTGGCCCAATCACTATAGACCTCTCCAGGTACAATGAACCTGGACACCTGACTGTTCAGGTGGAATGTTAATGGCTGGTGGTTAATGGTGTTAACACCTGGTTAATGGTGTAGTAACATCTAAAACGTTTCTGCCCATTTATCTTTGCCTTAAGTGGCAGATATGACTGTTTAAATTCCCTCAAGAGGTGGAAGTCCTATAAATAAGACTTAGAGCTGCAGAGAATATACACAACATTTTTCATGCAATCTGAATATTCTCAAAGCCTCACGCATTATATCATAGTGCTCAGTTATCGTCTTCGTTTCTGTTCGCTGGAACTCTGAAGGCTGGTATGCTACAGCTTCCGAGTGTATGTCGTTGTATCTTTGGGGACATTACGCATAGACCCGTCAGCACTATACGGGGCATATTTGTCTTGCGGAAAGATTTCAATCGCCTCGGCTTTCAATCTGTCCGCATTTGAGTTGTAATTTTTATTTTGCTTTAGTTCTTCTTGTATGAACTGAACACTTCAGTCAGTTCATAGGTTCCCGTTGTAATTCAAAACACAAATTGTGTAACAATCGCAAGACAAATATTCGGCACCTACTGAACTGATGGCATCCACTGGCGAAGGATCAAAAACTCAACCACCTGTCACCCCCGCTGTTCATTATCCCCAACCTGTTGTTCATGTTCCCACTGCTGAGATGTCCGAAAAATTCAACGGGCTTGATTTCAAGAGGTGGCAACAGAATATGCACTTCTACCAAACCACTTTGGGTTTGGTGAAGTACCTGAAAGACGACCCTCATGTCGTGGCTGAAAATGAATCGAATGCTGAGCTGCGAGCTGCATACGATGCTTGGGGGCAAGGTGATTACCTTTGCCGGAACTATGTCCTCAACGGACTGAGTAACAAGTTGTACAATGTGTATAGCTCGGTTGGCTCTGTCAAGGAGCTTTGGGCTGCCTTGGAGAAGAAATACAAAACTGAGGATGCCGGGGCGAAGAAATTCGTCGTCGGCAAATTTCTGGAATTCAAGATGGTCGACACTAAGACCGTCGTTTCTCAAGTGCAAGAGTTCCAACTCATCTTGCACGACATTCATGCTGAAGGAATGTCTCTGAGCGAGTCATTCCAAGTTGCGGCTGCGATCGAGAAACTGCCGCCGGGTTGGAAAGACTTCAAGAACTACCTCAAGCATAAGAGGAAGGAGATGAGTCTTGAAGATCTGGTTGTTCGTCTTCGGATTGAAGAGGACAATCGGAAGTCTTCGGGGAAGGCCCCGATGATGGAAGCTCGTGCCAACTTGCTGGAGCAAGGCAACTCGAGCAAAAGGAAGCCCCTTAACAAAGGGAAGCAGCAACCTGCCAAAGTGTTGAAATTTACCGGCAATTGCCACAACTGTGGAAAGCCGAACCATATGGCTAAGGACTGCAAGAAGCCTAAAAAGGCTGGTCTGAAGAAGGCACAACATGGTGCCCTCATTGCTGAACACGGCCCTATGCCGAGTGAACTAACCGACATGGATATGTCGACTGTGGTGTTTGAAGCCAATTTGGTGGATAACCCAAGGGCGTGGTACATTGATACTGGTGCTACTCGTCACGTGTGTTCCGACAAGGGGTTGTTTTCTCACTACACTCCTTCATTTGGTCGGAAGCTTCACATGGGCAACTCCTCCTCGTCTGATGTGGCTGGAGTTGGCATCGTGGTGTTGAAGCTGACTTTTGGAAAGGAGTTGAAGCTTAAGGATGTGCTGCATGTCCCAGACATCCGCAAGAATTTGGTCTCCAGATCTCTTCTTGTAGAGCATGGTTTTAAGTTAGTGTTTGAAGCTAAGAAGTTTATTCTTAGCAAGTATGGTAATTTCCTTAGTCGTGGCTATCTCGACAAGGGTTTATTTAAAATGAATGTAATGGCTGTGAACCGTGTAACCGTTTCTACTGATAATGAAAATCATACTTCTTTTTATATCGTGGAGTGTTCTGATTTATGGCATATTAGATTAGGACATGTAAATCTAAATGCAACTAAATGGTTGATGAACTTATAATTAATTTTTAATTCTAGAATTGAATCACACAGAAAATGTGAAATTTGTGTTGAAGCCAAAATGGCTAAATTACCTTTTCACTCGGTGGAAAGAAATACTGAACCGTTGGGTTTAATCCATACTGATGTATGTGACTTGAAGTTTGTGCAAACAAGAATGGGTAAAAGATATTTTATAACTTTTATTGATGATTGCAAAAGGTTTTGCTACTTATATCTTTTAAGAAGCAAAGACGAGGTTGTGGAAGCTTTTAAAAATATTAAGATCGAAGTTGAAAATCAACTCGACAAAAAGATTAAAATAATCCGAAGTGATAGGGGTGGGGAGTATGTAGCTCCTTTTGAATAAATATGTTCTGTATATGGCATAATTAATCAAGCGACGACCCCCTATTCTCCACAGTCGAACGGTGTTGCAGAACACAAGAACCGGACTTTAATAGAGATGATGAATGCCATGTTGATAAATTCAGGATTACCCCAGAATATGTGGGGGGAAGCTGTTTTAACAGCAAATCATATTCTGAATTAAATACCACCTAAAGGGAAAAATGAGACTACTTACGAAATGTGGAAAAATCGTAAGCCGTCTTATAAATACCTGAAAGTGTGGGGGTGTTTGGCTAAGGTTTCAGTTCCTGAACCAAAACAAATGAGAATCGGACCTAAGACGGTCGATTGTATTTTTATTGGATATGCATACAATAGTACTACATATAGATTTGTGGTTCATACATCAGAAAATCCGGAGGTATCGGTTGGTACCACTATTGAGTCGAGGAATGCTATATTCTTCGAGAATATTTTTCCTTTGAAGGAAAAAGCAAAATGTAGTTCTAACAAAAGGACGTATGAAACTGCTAGCGGTTTTGTACCAGATGGTACTGAAGATAAAGAAGAAGAACCAAGACGTGGTAAAAGGGTAAAAACGACAAAAACGTTTGGACCTGATTTTATTACGTATATGCTGGACGATGAACCGAGTTCCATTAAGGAAGCTCTATCTAGCCCAGATGGACCACTCTGGGAAGAAGCTATAAATAGCGAAATCGATTCAATTATGCAAAATCATATTTGGGAGTTAGTTGATCTCTCTGCGGGTTGTAAATCTTTAGGATGCAAGTGGATCCTAAAAAGAAAATACAAAGCTGATAGAACGATTGATAAGTTTTAAGCAAGATTAGTGGTCAAAGGCTTTAAACAAAAGAAGGGTACGACTTCTTTGATACCTATTCACTTGTGACGCGTATAGCGTCAATTAGAGTGCTTCTCTCGATTGCTGCTTTGCACAATCTTGAGATTCATCAAATGGATGTCAAAACAACATTCTTGAATGGTGAATTAGAAGAAGAGATTTACATGGGACAACCCGAAGGTTTTGTAGCACCTGGACAAGAGAAAAAAGTGTGCAAATTGATTAAATCCTTGTACGGACTTAAACAAGCGCCGAAACAATGGCATTTGAAATTTGATGAAGTGATGTTGTCAAATGGGTTCAAAATCAACAAATGTGACAAATGTGTTTATGTTAAAAACACATCAAATACATATGTAATTGTATGTCTATATGTAGACGATATGTTGATCATTGGGAGTAGCCATGACGTGATCATGGATACAAAACGAATGTTGAAAATAAATTTTGACATGAAAGATATGGGTTTAGCTGATGTAATTCTTGAAATAAGAATTATCAAAACCCAAGATGGAATTGTCTTGTCACAATCTCATTACATAGAGAAAGTGCTCAAGAAATTTAATGCCTATGAAGGTCCTCTGTCTAGGACACCCTTTGATCTTAGCGTAAATCTGGAATCCAATAAAGGTCAACCAGTTGCTCAATTGGAATATTCACGGATAATAAAGAGTCTAATGTACTTGACGATCTGTACACGACCAGACTTGGCCTATCCGGTGAATAAGT